ATTGAAAAGAAAACAGTATTTGCTGGGTGTTTTGACACAGCCTTAACAGAAAGAATAGATTTGGTATTTGTTTCAACTTGTTACATTTACATTTGAAGGAAGGGAAAAAAGTTATCTAGATGTATTACTATACTAGAGAGAATATTTTTCAATGCTGGATAGATTTTAGGAATGGCATTTTTTTCCTGTTCTTGTGAAGAGTTTTTTAATGTTGAGCTGAACCAAATAGAAAAAGATTATGAAAGATGATGAGAGAATCATAGCCAATGAAGATAAACCAGTAGATCAGCACAATTCTTCAGAGTAAGTTATTATTGCAGGTGAAATACAGGATGGGGTTCTATAGATATGGGTTTGCAAAGAAATCCTGCATGGAGATACATATTGAAGACAGAAAGCTTCTGTGCTTGAGAAACAGAGCAGCAAAAGAGGAAATATTGCTGTGTCTTTGGAATAAAGCAGTGTTATGCCTCTTAAAATACAACAATATGAGAACTGACAGAACCTCATATTTAGCACAACTCCTAATCAAATGGAAAGCGATAACAAAATATCTTGTGGTTCCTGGCAGAAATAGCTATGATATGATACACATCTGTATCATTTCCAGTATAATGTTTCTAGTCTTATTTCATTGCAATTCAATCTGCTTCATAAAAACATGGTCAGACAGTGAAAGATCTAATTTGATTCTGGAATCTGTTAGATCAAGACAGTGAATTCTGAGACATGAATGTGGGCTACTAACTAGAATGGAATCTTATCTGCCTATAAAGCACATGGAGACCAGAAACAGAGGAATCACATGTGTATACAAATGCATTCAATTTATTATTGAATTGGCAGAAAGCTTCAAAATTATTTATATTCTTTTAACTGTACAGTTTTCTATTGCTCTATGACTTCACTCACAGTGACAGGCAAGTCCTTTTACTCTTTATCTTTCAGCCATATAATGGAGCTAGGAAAGAAAGATTCAGGACACATGGTAACAAATGGGACCATCCTGTTACTATTTTCTTTCTATTGTTTAAGTCAATGTAGCTGTTAAGCCTCAGGTTCTTTTCTGGATATTTCAAAAGGTGTGAGGACTAGACCCATCTGTCTGTGTGATCGTAGGAATTTTTTTAGCCCTGTAGGATAAAAACTATTCTCTGTGGTCATTGTAATGGATTGATAGCAGAAAAGCCAGAATGGAAGAGCCCAAAAGCTGAATTGTCTCAGGAGCAGACCTATATAGTTTTAATTGTTTTACATTAAATTGTCTATGGCAATTTATTGTCATTAAATGCTAACCATTTAGTGATACTGGGGAAGAGTTCTATGTCACAGGGAATCAGATTTTTGTGAAGCAAAGGGAAAGGATTTGTTCATTCACCTTTTCCATTGTTGGTGTTCATTGTGTGTGGCAAATGGCAGTGGTGTACAATGCCTGGTGAAAGGAGGGAATTCTTTACCCTCTCCCAGGTCTGACCAGAGCTCCAGAAAGAGGATGGGGTAATTTTTTCTGCCCAGAGCTGGGCACACTGTGTATGCCTCACACCTGAATGGGAGTGCAGCAGAACCCCCCGTGGGGAAGAAGAGACAATGAAAAAATCATAAGAAACCAACCCAGAGCAGGGATGTGCTCATGTGTTTATACACATACATTTAACAAGAAGGTTTACTCTGCCCCTCACCATTCGCAATCTTTTTGGTCTCTGCTGTTTCCTTTGAGCTCTCCAAGCAAGAGTCTGTTTTCCACATATGTGATGCAGTACAAAAGCACTTACATCACCCTTTTTTTCTGTATCAATTGGACAGCAGTGCCATATTCTTCCTTCTCAGTGTTTTCCACTCACCCAGCATCCTTGGAGTGGCAGCAGAACGTGACTGCTGTGCATGCTGTGCCTCTTGTAGGGCTGGAGCAGCATCCTGCACTTCAGAGTTCTGCTTGCAGCATCAGGCAGGGCTGAATGGAAAATGCCATGACCAATTTAGAAGAAATAAAGGCCATTCATCTGCCTTTGGGGAGTAACCCAGATACAGAGCTCACTGTGCTGGGTGTAACATGGAGAGATGCTCTGTCTGACAGAATCATTGAGTCAAGAAATTCAGAGCAGGAAGAATACAAAATAGCCTTGCCCTTCTTTTAAAAGTGAGAACCCAGGCACAGTTTCTTCTCCACCAAGATCAAGATGAACATCTGTGGCATGCGAAAGAAGCAAATCTCAGAATAACAAGTCTGAGATGTTTCTTTCATGTGGGGGATAGCTAAGACACATTAAATGGGCTTTTTAGGGACTCTGACTTAATTCTTTCCCAGTAATAAAACCTCAAGGTCTTACTTATACTTGAATATGTTAAGTTCAGCTGATTTACCTTAATATTTTTTATTAAAGTACTGGGTTAAGATTAAGCACTAAAAAGCATATTTTCCTACTGAATTTGACACAATATTTTTGAAGTTCATGAATCTATTAAGCCCCGAACACTCTCTAGTGTATTAGACAACAGTAGTGATTTACATTATTTTGACGTTGCAAATGAGTTTTCAAGGGTAATGGATTTCATATAGGGAGATTAAAAGATAACATTCCTTCATTTGTGCATGCTGACTTCTTTCCCCCATCATACTACATTTAGCAAAATGAATAAGGCAGAAGCAATGCTGGTGTATTTTTATGCTAATTAACGTATTTTAATTTCAAATAGCATTTCTGAAGAAAAGATACACTCCAAAAAAAGTGATGCCAGGGCAAAACTAATGAATTTTCATTCTTTTCAGTATACTTATGCTTTCATGAATTCTTTTTGTTATATTCTGGTGCATGAGAATGCATCAGTAGGCACTCAGAATATGCAGCCCACAGATCTGATTTTTACAGAAATCCAGCTTAATGTTTTTAGCTACAAAATAAACTTCACCCTAAATTGTTATTTTTAGTGACCAGTTGGGTAATAACTATAGGAGTACATACTTCAGGAAGGCAGATAAGAATTTTTTTGCAAACAATGCATTGTAAATGACAAGAAGTCTTTGTGCACAAAGGATGTGTTTAGCTGTTTTGTACCTAAACTGGGCTATTCTTAGACAAATTTTAAGAGTAGGCCACTCTTGTCCCTGAAAGTCTGCAGCTGAGAGCTCACACTTGCTGCAGTTCACTAATTAAAGCAGTGTGATGTATACTTTAATTAGTTAAACTGAAGTTTCACTGCACCGATTCCTCTCTTCTGTATCTTGGAGCACCCTGGGCTCCTTGGAGTGAGAATGGTTTTGGCCATGGTGCTATAAATCAGAAATCTCCATGGTCTCTGCATGAAGCCCATGGCTGCTGGGCCAGTGGCTCTGCTCTAATGCTGATGGTGAGGGGCACTAGAAACAGCCCTTTTTAGCATCACAGTCCATGGACTGCACTGCTCTCATCCCAGACAATTCCAACAAGAATTCTTGGTCCATGGCCCCTCCAGGCACAGATTCACTGGCAAAACACTGACCTGCTGTCATTTACTTGTGCATCCTGTCAAGAATAGGGCACAACGAACCAGCCTGTCCTTCGTGTAACACTTGTCACAACAGCAATATAAAGCCAATGACATGGTTGAACAGGATTGTTGATACCCATCAGGGCAGATCAATAAATGATGTTTCTTTTACTTCCATAACTCTAGCATACCCGGGTGCTTGTATAAGGCAAGGGCGCTGGGCCTGATCTACTGCACTGCAGTAAAATCAACAGTGCATTCCACAGAGCCAGTAAATTTCATGTTTGTTCTGCTGGGTGAATAGACTGAGAAAACATGCTCCTCAAAAATATTTTAAATCACATTGTTATAGTTCTTGTATAGTTCTTTGTAACACTCCAGAACTTTCACTACATGAGTAAACACTGGTAGCTCTTGAAACCAAAACATTATTCAGGAACTTGATTTGAAAGAATTTCTTTTACAAGTAACAAGACAAATCATACTGATTTTCTCTAAATTGTTTTGGAGAAAGTGAAACAAACAATTTGGGAAGCTAACAGTAACTGATAGGTAAGTTCCAGTTCAGCAGAAGCCAAAATTGAAACTAAAACTCTTAGGTCTAAATAAAGGCATGTGATTCCATCTAACAGAAAATTCCCATTGTCAGAGAGGAAATACAGAAACTTTCTATAGTTGAAAGTAAATTCAAACTTAGGATGTTCTTACCCAGCTATGCAGAGCCATAGTACTACTTTTGTAATTAGAAAAAGATACTTAGTTTAAAATACCCCAAATTAGGAAATATAAAAGTTATCAACAAACCTAATATTTTTTTTCTGTGAAAAACTGACCCATTATAAGCATTTTTCTTTTCTGTAAAACTGTGTTTTCTTCTTGAACTGGGACAGATTTTTACTTTGTTCAGTCAAACTTTGTACATTGAATAAAGGTATTTTCTTTCTAATTAAGTGATGATAAAAAGAATTATTTTAGTACTGAAATAGTCTACTCTTTGTATAAGTTTGCAGTTTGTTATTCCTGCCTGAAACATGAAGGAAAGAAAGCCAGCTCATCATCTCAGCTTAGTGGCAGGGCTCTTCCTGATTGTTGAATAGATTAGAAGAGTGAAGATGAATGCTTGCTTGTTATAACCATCTACTCAATACAAAAAGTGATAGACTTTGGGGACTAAACATTATTCTATACTCCAAGATTTCTTAAGGTAGCAAAATAAAATTTAGGTTTCATGATTTCCTTAAAAGCCAAAATATGCTTTATGTGCATGAAGATTGAACAAATTCATAGAAATCACAGCCTGTTAAGGCCAATGGGAGATTTCCTTCTGGAATAAAAGACCTCTTATATAGAATACTAACATTATAAATTTTAACATGAAAGACACATGAATTATAAGTTGGAAGTACATGCAAAGAGAGGATTGAAAATTACGAAACAGAAAACTCAGCCAAAGATTTTGGTCTAGGGCAGAGTAAGTGAATAACTTTTAACAGTTAGCCCCTTCCCTCTGTAGTAACTCTGTGTTATCCTTCCAGGTACCTGGGAATCACAAGGCCCCTCACATACCCTGTCAGGCAGAATGGGAAGTGCATGGCCAAGATGATCCTGTGTGTCTGGCTGTTGTCTGCCTCTATCACCATACCCCCGCTCTTCGGCTGGGCCCAGAACGTCAATGATGAAAAGGTTTGCCTCATCAGTCAAGACTTTGGCTACACCATTTACTCCACAGCAGTTGCATTTTACATCCCAATGTCAGTGATGCTGTTCATGTACTATCAGATCTATAAAGCTGCCAGGAGGAGTGCTGCTAAACACAAGTTTTCTGGTTTTCCCCGTCTGGAAGAAATGGAAGGGATTTCTGTGAATGGACTTGTAAAACTGCACAAGGAATCTGAAGAATGTACTAATTTTTCACGACTCCTAAAGCACGACAAGAAAAACATTTCCATCTTTAAAAGAGAACAGAAAGCTGCCACCACCCTTGGGATTATTGTTGGGGCCTTCACAATCTGCTGGCTGCCCTTTTTCCTCCTCTCAACTGCAAGGCCCTTCATATGTGGTACAGCATGCAGCTGCATCCCCCTCTGGGTGGAGAGAACATTTCTGTGGCTGGGCTATGCAAACTCCCTCATTAACCCTTTTATCTATGCCTTCTTCAACCGGGACCTGAGGACAACCTATCGCAACCTGCTGCAGTGCAGATACAGGAACATCAACCGCAAACTCTCGGCCGCGGGCATGCACGAGGCTCTGAAGCTTGCAGAAAAGCCAGAATTCGTTCTGTAAGGCCACTCATCCTCTACTGTGATCATTTGCTGTTTTATCACGTTGGCTTTTCCCCCACAGGTTTGAAAGAAGTGTTGCAGGAGGAACCAGTTGAGCACTGTTAATGCAGTCAGCAGGAAACAAGGTAGAGCCCACCTGTCCTAATCGGCCTGGAAAAGCAAGAGCACCATCTAGAGAATTTGGGTGTAAGAGGAATATATAAGAAAGGATGGAAGTGAAATGTAGCACAGGATGTTTGAGCTGTTAGTGAGGAAAAAGCAAAGTTGGCCTAACCCGTTTGTTTGGCCCAAAAAATGTTTAGTAGGTCTGAATGTTGGATGCACCTTGTGTCCCAGAGATTCTTTGCTGTAATAAAGACCTGAGAATGGTGAAAAGTTAATTTCCTTCCACTTCAGTATTACAAAAATAAATCATTAAAGAAGAAGCTGAATCAAAGAACTTGTATTCCTTAGAAACATTCTTTATGATAAAACCCCATATGTTCATTAAACATTAATTTACTGGATTGCCTGGAAATGAACTATGTTGTGAAATTCAATATTGCCTTTGCACAGCAACTCTGGCACTGAAAGAATATGTCACACTTCCAATGTGATTAAAGAGTTTGAGTCAAGTCACATGGACCAGCATCTACTGCTGCATACAGCCCTGCAGCACAGTTAGCTGCAATGCTGCTGTGCAAATCACACCAGGTAATCTTATACTGTATTTCTAACATAACAAATGTGTCTGATTACAGTTTATTTCAGGATCTGTCTGGTCTTTGTCCATCTCTTCATTCTTTAATTCTCTTGGCTTTCTCAGCTGAGCACTTCTCTAATCTAGATGGAGACTGTCTGTGCACAAGTCATTTCTGTGATGTATGGCTGGTCCTTGCTCCACTTCAGTAGTTAATTTACTGTCTATTTGAAAGCTCTTCTACTTTCTGGGACTTCTTTCTCTTTTCAAGTCAGTAAGGAAAAAACAAACATGAGACCTTATGACTTCAGAGACATCTGGACTTTATCCTTAAAATCTGATTTTAATCATCACTTGTGCTTAAAAGGATTTAAAGCCTTGCTCTGTGTATGAATAAAGACAATTTACTTTTTCTGGTTCTAGCTTTTTCTACCATCATTGCAGTTTGTCCAAGTATGTGATCCTACTTCTCTTGGCTTTAGTAAACAGATGTCTTCTGTCAGTGTAGCAGGGCCAAATAGTATAACAATTTTTTATAAAAAATTAAAAATAATCATATTGGTTATATTAATATATTACTAGTAATGTATTAATATAACATGCAGCAATTTTGTAAGATACTATTATAATAAAATAATAATAAAACAACTCATAAGATCAAGATGAGTTCTTTGGCCCAAGTGTGCATTGCACACCACGTTCCAGCTGAAGCAGAGGGCGAGGGTACATGACTGAACAAAGACTTCAACCTTCAGAGCTTGATCTGCTTTTTCAGATATTGGGACACCAGTGAGGAGACATGTTCATTATCAAATTGCCTCAGCATCAATTCCCACTTTAGGCTAACTTCTGTCCCTGCTTTCTCAAGTCTGAAGGCAAAATGACTTCAGTGAGCTCAGTGATGCTCATTTGGGCTGAACATCAGGGTCAGTCAGTGCCAGAGCCCTTGTTCCAAGCTTGCAGAGGTAACTGCAGACACTTGAGCCTCTCCCTGGCACATAGCCAAGAGCTGGGTGATGTGCTGAGCCACCGAAACAGGCTGCAGCAATTTTAGATGCATTCATACATTACAGTAGGGAGTACATTTTGGCCTCATTTTCACAACAGAATTGTAGAGTAAGAGGCTGTTTTCCAGCTTCAAAACAGTTTTCTAAAGAAGTTTCAAACTTATTTGGGACAGTCCTATTTCTTTTAAATGTTCCAATATTATGCACAGGGACAAGAAGATATTTGGGCCCAGAAGATCCACAAGCTCTGGAGTACTAAGTTAACTCAAGTATATTTTCCATGTTGAACATGAAATGATTTTTGTTTCTTTATTACCTTTCAGAGTAGATTTTTTTTGGTTTTTTTTGTTTGTTTCCAGCATAAAGGAGAAGTTTTCAAAGCCCCCTGGAAGTTTTTTTCCTGTATAAGGACATACGTGGGAATGTACAAATAGATGTATCTGGGAAGACTCCAAGTGGGACTATGAAACTCTGAAGATGATTTTAGAATTCTGGACAGAAGTTTCAGCATTTTTATTCTGCAGGAAAGCCTGAGAAGCTGTGTTTCCTCCAAATAAGATGACTTTTATTTTAATTTTTTTTAAATGAAATATGTGTCTTGTGAGTCAGAAATTGACATTTGCCCAGCTGTCACTAAAGGCAGTTGCTTTCCTCTGGGAAAACATCCTGCAGGAGTCCAGCTTTCCTCTATCATCTATTTCAGGTAATGAGAGCCCAGGAAGGAATAAAAGTTGTGATGGTGTTTATACCAATCCTGGAAGTTTTTTGGGATAAACATCCATATTTGATCTCTGGATGTGTTTGGAAAGAAAAGAAAAACCAATGAAAAAATACTCCAAAAACCAAAACACCATAAAGTTTCTTCTTACACCCAAATCAAAATATAGACAAATGGAAGGTGTTTCTAGATGGAGCTGTATTTGAGGGGAAAAGTAAGGAAGCTGAGAAAATTAGAAGACATCCCACTGCCCAAGCACACAAAGAAGTTGAGAAGAAGAGAAAGTTTGCAGACAGAATTCTAATGAAAAGAGGCTTTAAGAAGAACAAGAAGGACAATATTGTTTGGGTTTGTGAACACAATGTTTCCCTTTTTTAAAAGATAAATTGAACTGCATCACAATGTCTAACTGCAGCAATAGCATTTTTTCACTTAGATAATCCACCACACTCCTGAGAAGAGAGTAATACACAAATGGGTGTATGAGAAGTCTATGTCAACATGTGCTTGTAGCAAATCCAAGAAGAGACTGCACTCATGGTCTGTGTGTTCCTCCATGTGTTTCCAGAGGAAAGCCAGAAGGGTGAATCAAATAGATGGGATTGTGAAAAAAATGGAAATAAAAGACTCCAGGAACCAGCCAGAGCACAGGCAGGCCAGCATAACACTGCCTAAGTGAAGAGGGGGAAAGTGAGAATTGCACTCCCCCTGCCCTCTCAGCGCAGCTTTTGAGAGGGAGACTGTCTGTGGTGGGAGCCCCATGGCTGACACTTTGCCAGCTCCCACCACCTGCCAGCCTGCGCATCCAATACTGCAACACACTATTGGCACTTGCCAAACTCCTGTTTAGCAACAGCCTCACTGGGGAGAAATAGAAATAGCAGAGTAGTGAAACTGTGACTTGATGATAATATCTTATTATTATGCCTCTACTGCTTCACATTTCAGTTTCATAAGAAGAAAACCAATATTTTTCATGCTCTGTTCGAAGCTAGCACCGCCTGCAGAAATATGTGTCAAAGAGCAGCAAATAAATCTACTGCAATGAGACAAAGAAGGGAATTATGTATCAAATTAATACTATAAACAACACAGACAAAATTCACTCACTCTTTTGCCCCTGGCTCCCTGGCAGGAAAACAGATTTCCAGGCAACCATTGCTCCAAACAGTGCAGCATTATTTAAAGAACATTATGGAGTTAAGTTTTTGGATTACTGACCAAGATACTGCAGTTACAGAACTGGAAGGTGTTGGAAGCAATGCCATTGGTTTTTGTGCTTTCCCTATCTATTTAATTTTCATAATATTTTTCTGATCCTACAGGAAAAAAACCCTATTTAAATTACAGTATTCTTGAAGAAAGTGCAAGATCAATGCGTCATCAAATCCTCTTCACAGTTTGCTTAAGAAGTAATTCTTGTCCTTTAAAATGTTTCTCAGGAAGACACAGAGAAAGAGAAAGGAGAAAATTAAGAGACTTGGTGAATGGTTTTAATATCCAAAATTATTATTATCCTGGAATAGAAGACACCTCTTATTTCAAATGCTGACGAGGTAGGGATTGTGAGGACTAGATTTTTTTTTTTTTTTCAAGAAAGGCTCAAGCAAGTAAATTTAAAAATGGCTTAAGAAAAATTGAATCAGAAGGGTAATCTTTAAAATTTGCAAGAAATACAAAATTAGGTCCCTCTTCATGGTTTTAAATCTTTTAATGTTGTTATTACCACTAAAGATTGGGTTCAGCATGAGTCTGAAGGGAATTATATTATTTATATCCACTTTCTAAACATTTGCCTAATGGGTTTGTCTTTCCCCACACTCAAATTCAGTTTCTCTGCTCTTCCACTGAATCCCTTCTCACCAAGGGATGGTTCCAAAAGGACAGAACGGCTTTTATTTGCTGAAAACTGAAAAGATGCTTATGATTCCCAGATTCATTTCTCAGTGCTCCAAGCTGAAAACCCCATTGAGCTACTTCTAAAGGATATTAATATATGGTGATTGCTGAGGGAAATAGTTTGATGATTTGTGTAACATTGTGACTTTACTGATTGAAATTATAATTTGTCTCTTTTGCAGTTTTTCACATAGAGCTAGTTGAGTTCCTTCAGGAAAAAAAAATGCATACAAATGTATCAAAGTTTCCAGAAGAGTTCATCCAGTTTTATAAACCAACATACCAGACTGAATAAATATTTTGCCTTTAGTTTTCTGTCTACTCAGTCAAAATCAACGATATTTCATTAATTCAGTAGTTGTGTGGTCTTGCTAGTTCCAGGAAATTGTGTTTACAGTATACTTATTTTTACCTTTTGCAAGAGAAGAGAAAGCAAACCACTGAAGTATACTTAGTCCAGCCCTTTTGAAAAATCTCCTTTGAATCATGGAAAAATAGTAAAGAATGCATCTGGACAAACTCATTATTGCCTCAGAAAACTTGGCATCTCTTGCTAAACTAACCAGCTCTGTGTAAAAACAACAGGGATTCCTCAGTCAAATCTACCATCCTGAAGGTGGTTGCAAGGAAAATACAAAATTAGGCAAATTAAATTAAAATTTACTTCCCAACAGTAGTGTGAAAGCTGACAAACCCATCAATTTTATTTCTGTCTTCAAAGAAAGCAGTAAATGCAGCAAGTGGAAATCATGCTAAGGACCTTTCACTTGTCATTACAAGAAAAAAAATCAGAAGTTCAACTAAGCACAAAGTTAATGCTGCAAAACAATTTTTTTTAATATTAGTATACCCTTTCTGAAATAATCTCCCATCAGCCCAGAAAAGAGAAAAACAACATTCTCTAGGGCAAATCATATAAAATCCAGAATTTTATTCTGGAATTAAAAGAAAATCTACAGTTACCTAAAGCACAGAATTGAAAATGTCTTTGTCTTTCCTTTATATCTAGTTTTGAACTTGGATGTGATTATCAGCCTTCCTTTAATTTGGACAATTTTTTACCAGGATGTGTTTTCATGTAATAAAATATTTGAAATAAGTGAGAATGCAGGTTTGTCTGTAAAAATGCCTGCTCCTGAAACAACTAGAGATATGAATAATTCCATGGTTTGAAAAGGGAGGCTATAACAAGACAAAAGAGTGCCCTGCTGCAAGGCTGGAGAGGGATGCCCTGAAACCCTCTTGTAACCTTGCAAATGTTGTTTTCAACATTTCAGCCTGGCTGCTGTACAAGAGTGGCTCTTCCCTTCACCCAGCTTGAGGAGAGAGGCAGGAATTTGATTATTCCATGCAAAGATTTTGCAGTAATTCTTTGTCCACAGCCAATTTTACAGAAGCAAGGCAGAATTCTTCATTCCTGCTCTGGCTCCTTCTGTCCCTCTCACGTGTGGGGTCTCCATGAGCTCGTGGAGGTTTGTGCTGCCACCAGAGCTGGAAGGCTGCACCAAGTGCAGGGCTCCCAACAAAGCCACCCATATTTAGTGAAGGAATTTAGGGGTTTTGCCACTGAACTGTGTAAAACAGACTGAGAACTTCCTCAGTTCCCAAAACAACCCAAAATACGGTGAGTACAAAGCCCCCAGAATGCTCCATTTCCCCCCAGCTTCCTCATTTGAATGGGATTTCAGAGAATTATCTCAATAGACATGATCTAATTGCCTCTTGAGAAATCCTTCATTTATTTCAGTGGTATATTTGGTCAGAGCTTTTAGTTGCTCCAGGATATTGCTCATCTAATTCATCCACTTTTTTAACAACAGGAGAAGTTCTGATTTCTCCAGGGAAAAAGAGTCATGACCAAATGTGCTTCAGAGCAGCCAGAAAAAGTCGAGCCAGACCAGGAAGAAGAAAAATGAAGAGTTGGCTTCTGAAGAACTGGATGGATTTATAAAATGTACTTCATCTTCCTTTGATGGGAGTGTGCTAAAAATATTCCATGAGCTCAATACATTATATTAGATACATTTCTATTGGAAGTGCTCACATCTTGTTTGTTATGGAGGAAAATGCTGTTACATACAAATGAAAATAGTTTTCTGCCTGAGAAAGCAGAAATTTCAGCAATAAGTTTGACAAAGGGTGGGGGAATGCCACTAAAACTCAAAGATAAAGCCTTGTACAGATTTCCACCACATTTAATTATGTAGAAGAACATTTGTATGTTTACCATGCTTGTGGATCCCAGCACTGGTATTCATATTCAGGGATTGTCAGTGATACTGAATGTATTTTGCTGTACTAAAAAAGAGAGGTTTTCGGGCAAATGTTGTCTCTGTGGATGCTTTCAGAGCTTGTGTTAAAGAGATGCTGTACACCTGCAATAGCATTGAGAATGACAACAATAAAAGACCAATTTTTGTTAAAGATTTCTGTTGTATTAAGTAAATGTCTGTTACTTGTTGCATACATGTGGTTGGTTCTCCCAAACTTTTTTAAAAGCTGCTTTCAGTTATGCAGTGACAAAAGTTAAGGGACCAAATTAGAATGCACATGTATTACACCACAGCTAATTTACACATATGATTGCTTTAATGTAATTTTCATGACCTGCCTATTTATAAATTTCTGTCATTTCTACTCAAATTTGTATAAAAGGCTGGAGAAATTCCACAGCACTTCGCTTTTTGTCTTACTGGCTAGCTAGAGAGAATTTTTTTTTTGAAAGTGTGTTTAAGAAGTGTTACTGCCAATGGTTTGTTATGATTAAAACAGGTCTCTTTGGCTAAAACTAAATAGGTGAGTATAAATGATCACTTTTCCCAGGGAAAACTGATTCAAGGCACTATTCCTTAAGCATAGTTTTTAACATTTTTTGTTTGGTTTTCTTTTTTTTTTTTTTTTTGGAGGTTCTCACAATTATTTCCCTTCAGAGTTTATAAACTATGCATGGTTATACAATGTACAATGCAGAAACACATCCCATTCCCAAAGTCTGTCTTCTTTAAAGTAGACCTCACTGAGCATTTGCCTTATTTCCATAGCTGTGGGATTTGTGATAATTTAATCCCTTGCAGTTTAACCAAAATGCTGCTGGTAAATCTTCCAGTGGCTCCATGTGCCATTGGGGCTTCAGTCTCCTTTTATTAATCAATATAGAAGTTCACCATAGCTGCCTAAATAAGGAGTCAGACATACCAGAACAGGCCAAATAATTTCTTATTGGCAAGGAATCAGCATAGGAAGCAAATCAAATATATGTTAGGCCTATGTAAAACCTAGAAGTGACAGCCTAATCCTTATTCTACACCTGATCCTGACACCCTAAGATGACTCCTGTGGTTCCATGAGAGCCCCAGGGTGGCAGATTTTCATTTCACTAGGTCAGCAAGGCTCATTTCAGTATCTTACTGATATAACTATTCACTGTGAGCTCTGCATCTGAAACAAAATGGGTCTTGCAGTTCATTTTATTTTCCAGAGGAAATGACACAGAAATGCTTTTTACTTGGTTAGCCTGAAGTATTTAACAAGAAAAGGGACAGTTATTGGCAAAGGCCAGTGGACCAGTTCTGGTTGCGGTTTATGAGAATACATTCAGAGGAACTCAGCTGAAGGCAAAACTACATTGGCAGATTATATTATATCTGAACCTAGTGAGAAAGGGAGATGATAGTTTCACAAATGTACCACGAAAAAAGGGGAAAAAAGGGGGGGGAGGGGTTCATCAAAAATAAAAAATCCCAAGCCTTAAAATGAAGGGCAGTGGCATGCTCTGAAAATCATTTTCAAGCTTTATGGTCTCAGTTGCATGTCCATTTCACAAAGGCAATGAAACAATTTTACTTTGATGAATTAGACTGTCATTTTCCTTGTTCATGATGCTGTGTCAAAACCTTAACTTGAAGTGAAATGGAAAAATTATACGTTATATATTTGAAAGGATTTTTTTAAAAGCCCCAAATAAAAAATAGCTACCAGTAAAAATTTTCTGTGAAAATTTATGAGTTTTTTAATGTCATTATTTTAAGTGTAAGGGAAAATGTGTGCTTTAAGAGGAACTTAATAGAGGGCAAAAGAGTCAGAAAGAGCTTTTGGCTGCTAGGGAGCTACAGTTGCAGGCAGATGTATCCATACATATGTATAACACACACACACTTATGTCCCTTGAATTTTAGGGCGGTACTTCCTCATGAAAAGAAAGTAGTGAATCTATTATTGCCTAATAAACATTTGTTTATTTTACTACCTATTACATTCCCAGAATCTCACAGAAATTTTGAGGCTATCTGTAGCATCACAGACCTATAAAGTTGCAATTCTACCTCTTTTACCACAAAAAGTTTTTCACCCAGGATCTTTCAGACACACAAACAGCAGAGAGAACATTAGGAACTACAGAGTTCTGATACTTTGCCATAGGAGATGAGGCTCATTTTTTTCCTCCTGTGACTCTCAGGTCTGTCACCTCTCTAAGCAATGCACAAACCCACACAGCAGCAGCAAGGAGAGAGACCCAAGGCCAAGTGCAAAAACCAGCAAATAATGCACACAGTATTTTAGAGGGTTAGGAGAGAAACAGGGCTGATCAAAAGAGGTCAGGAGATGAGACAGCCTGGTGGGATAAGGAGTTCAGCAGTTCCTGCAGCCCCCAGCATGTGGACCTGCCTCACACTGGGGTAATGCAGGTCCCCAGGCTGTGGGTGCAATGACAGCAGAGGGGGTGACACCAGAAGCAAGGCTCAGAACCAACCACTCCTCTGGATCTGCTGAGGGCTTCATCTCTCTAGCCCTGCCACTGAAACCTGCTCTGGGATGTGACACTGAGCAGTTTGCATTCTCACAGGGCTGCCCTATGGTGGTTACCATTGCATTTATCAGTTACCATTGTCATTTAATAAAATAAATGACTTTTAAAAATTGCATACCTCTTGATCTTTCACTATCTACTCGATCTTATATTTTCCTCATATACTCTTGTGGTCAACAGACCACTGAGATATTTGGTGGACAAGCCCACTACACATTAATTATATCTCTGCTGCACTTCCCTTATCTCTTTTTCCAGATTAATCTTTTTTTATTCTACAAACTTAAAGCCTACTCCTAGCTGTCCCCTTGATTCTACTAGCAAAATTCTTACTAAATTATGTGGCTTTATCAAGATGACAAAGTGATTCATTTGCTTCAGACATGAGCAAAAAATAAATTCAGTGATAAAAGGAGAAAGCTTTTTTTATTATCACAATATACACTGATTAAAATGTTACGTGGAAGCACAAAAATAATATCTATGTATACTATGTAAGCAGTCAGATGATATCAATTTTAAAACATAAAAGTGACTTCTATATATTATTTCAACCACCACAGACATTTAATATGCAAAATTCACCAGAGGATTGAGATGGAACTCCATTTCAGGTCATATATTTAACCTTGACAATGTCTGGTAAAACAAAAGATGGGTAACACAAGAGACTCCTTTCCCCAAATAGCTTACCAAGAAATACAAACACAATGAAATGAAGCTCTTCATGTTGAAATTAGCCTGTGCTGAAAACATTGAGTATCTTTTGTTGTGATATGAGTTTTATTTGTAAGGAAAAGAATTGCTGTCACTTACATTGCAAATTATTCAAATTTATACAGCAGACTAATTTAACAGAAAAGGAAATAGGGTTCTTCTGTATTAGGTACCAAGTTATAATATGCTTTTACAATGTGTAAGCCTAGAGGAATATTAAAATGTTAATTTGGATAGTATTTAAAAGGTAATTACTTTTATACAATAAAAGAAGAAGTCTACTGAATACTAATCCCAGTTTCATGTGCTTTTTTGAACTAATGCTACATTAATTAGAGAATCCATTTGTTTAAGTGATTTTAATTTAGATACCTGGAAGACATTATCATCTACAAAAATGTCTGGGTTTTTTCAGCTCAGCTAATGGAAAATCCTTACTGTATTAAATTCAATGTTTAAGAAAGTACCTATACTTGTGGGAGAGTGGTGAACTGAAAGAATGAGAGATTTTTTAATGACTCTCCTGAAGAAAGCATGGTTTGGTTGCTCAGCACAAGAGCTGCTACAAAGAGCACTGGCAGGGGCCACATGGAGCAGGGTGAGACTGATTGCTCCTAAACAAAAGCTGATTTCATCTATTCAAGCCTTTTCAGGGAAGGGTGAATGTGGAAAAATTTTATTTGCATTTCAGACCAGAGAAGCCTGCTCAGACTAGCCAGCCTATTTTGTCCAACTTCTTGAATTATATAATCTACACCCTTGTCTATGATAGTCTTTTCAATGCATAGAGGGCATCCATCTTGGAACAACCTCAGAAAATTATACTCAGGTGTTTTATAACATATTTCATTCATGCTAATGGTTTTTTTTAATTTTATTTTTAAATCTGTTAAATCAATGCTTATTTCTCTAGCCAGAATATTTTCCTATGGTTGACTACCTATATGAATTGTTTTGTTAAAAAAACCAATTATCTAAATTGGGTATTTAGCCAAATAAACATAGCTGAATCAAAAAAACCCCAATAACGCTCTTTAATTTGTAAGAAGGCCAGATATATTTTGATTATATTTTTCCAACATGTTATAAAAGAGATTTTTAGAAGACAGAGTGCCCAGGTGAGGTGTGGCACACAGCAGCAGCACATCCCTGCTCTGGGCACACCATGGGGCACAGCTGTGCCCAGAGCTCAGAATGACAAGGAGTAAGGACTCAGTAAGCTTTATTCTTTCAAGCTAGATATCTGTTGAACATTACCTAATTTTTAGCAAGAATATGAAGCCCTCTAAAAAATCTGATCAAGTTACAGTCAGTGCAGATGAACCACATAAGAGTCTTTCACACAGTGAAACTCAGGTTGATCTATGCTTAAAAAGAGAAATGCTGAGAACTTCTCTGCTCTCCTAGGTCATTTACATATGCCCACTCTACTTTCATTAGTTTGACATTTACTCCTTTTATTCTGTCAGCAGAAAGATTACTTGATTTTCACTGTTGCTATTACAATGTCACAGGTATAATAGCACTATGAACAGCGCAATAGATTTACAGAGTGAATAAAATATGATTTCTGAAGAGTAATTGCTGGTAGGAAATGAAATTTTAATAACAACTTACAACAAGTTGGCAATTAACTAAATAGAATTATTTTATGATCATGATTTTTAGATGAATCATTAGAGCCAAACCCCCAACAAAAAGCTTATCTCTCATCTAAAACATTACAAAAATAAAAATATGGTAAGTGATAATTTTCTTGGAAAGGACAGCAAAAAAAGGAAGCAAGGCAAGAGAAAAATGGTAGAAAATTCAGTAGTAATCAGACCAAAATGGAACTGAAGGAATGCATGACTCCACAGCCTGCCACTTCAGATGCTAATTTACATCTAAGGAGTTCTTT